TACCTACTTTTTTTACATATATATGAAAAAGTGTTTTGTAGATCATTTTTCTAAATTTTTTAGAGGACATGTGTAAACTTTTATTTTTTTAATTAATATTTTTAAAAACTAATTGTTTGATTAAAAGTTCTATTCATATAAATTATGAATATTAATTTTTAAATTGTTTTAATAAGTTTAATCATTTCGTTGATTATAAGAAATTTAACACTGTTAAAGATATGTTAGTGTTTACATCATAAATTGCAAAATTTTAAGATAATGTCACATGTAAATTATTTTTTAGTGGATGGAGAAGATTAAGTCATGTTAGATTTATAATTTTAGACCCCATGACAGATCAGCTATTTTTTTGGCAAAAAAGGGGAGATAAAGATGAGATTTTATTGTGTAATTATTTTTTTGAGGCAAAAAAGGACTGTTTGAGCTAAAATATAGAAGGAGATTGTAGTTAAAGAAGGGTTTTATCTGATAAAGATACAAGTGACGGAAATCTGTAAGGAGATCACACCAAGTCAATTGGTGAGCTGTCTCACTACCTCAAGAAACTGCCCATGATTGTGTAACTGCAGAAAGTGGGGGGTTACTGTCGACCAAAGGAGAACAAAAAGGAAATTTTGGAAGGGAGAACAGATGGTCAGCCCTACTCAAACATTTGCAAATTTTCAGACTTTCATTTTTTTTGCAAATGCTTCCAGATTTCGAATTTCAGCACAATTTCTAGTAGATCTAGTTTTTTTTCATCATCTCAGTAGATAAACTAACTCATGTATTTGCTTCAACAATTTCGTTTCATGCAATGAACTTCAATCTTTCAAGTTTATTTAAGGTATTGTTCCTTTTCTGTCTGCAATTAATTTAAAATTTATGATAAGTAGCATTTCATCAATGATTACTTATATGGTGTTTACGTTTGTTTTCAACTTCAAACATGTTAGTTTAATCACTGTTCATGTTAATTTTAATATTAATTAGGGTAAAATCTTTAATTCTGCAACAGTTTAATTTCCAGATCTATCAATAAATAGCATTTTAATTTAACAATGAATATGTTTAATTTACTTTGGGTACATCTTGTTCTCATAAATTTACTTTAAATTGCATGCTATTTAGTTTAATTCAGATTTGTTAACTTTAAGTCAAGGTAATGTTTAAGTCCTTGAAGTTGTCTAAGGCAGATTTTGTAACACATTCTACAGAAAGTATCCCTCTCTCTTGCAAATCGTCTGTAGGCACAAATTTCAATTTTAATCCAACGTTCTTCCTGCCATCCACAAGAAGGTTGACCGTGAGGAAAGAGAGGATCGTTGGGAAAGTCCTCCTTTCTTATTTTCAGCAAAGTAAGTGGTACGTCCGCATTCAAATTTCACACGTATGAAGCCATTAGAGAATTTTTTTAAAAACAGTTAGTGAATAAAATTTCTTTGATCAAAGGGTTATAATTATTGCCTTAATATGAAAATTGATATACATAATTTATATAAATAAAATTTTTAATCCAATAATCGGTTTTAAAAATATTAATTTGAAATTAAGTCTCCAGATAAGTCTTCCAAAAAGAACTTTAAAAGAACGAGCTGCGATTTACACATAAAATTTTATACACCATATTTATATAAAATTTTAATAATCTATCTCTTTACTTTCATCAGTGAAGATTTGTTTATATTTATTAATAATAATTATTTCTTATTTAAAAAAACAATATAGATCTTAACTACTAAAATTAAAAAATAAATAATTAAAATTTTATATAAAATATAAGAGTTTGTCTATCTTGTATCATAAGAAACAATCACTACTTAATAATTATCACTTTTTTTTTAAAAAAAAAGTGATATTTTAAATTTAAAAAATTGATTTTAATTTCAAAATAAACAAATAAAATATTAACATATAACATTTATAATTAAAAGAAAAATCAATTTCATTATTTTTAAAATTAAAAATTATAATAATTACATAATTATTATTTTTATCTTGTACCTTTTAAGTACGAGATATATAAACTAAAAATATAATGTAAAACTTATACCTAAATAAATTCTGATTCATACATTTATATTAGAACACTAGGAGATGGAGTCATCCACCCCCTTACCCCTTTACATTTGAAAGGGATATCATGCATGGTCCCACAATTTCTACTCGATAATTAACCAAGCTACTGATTTGCCATATAAGCGTTTTATAGTAATTAATTAATGCTCACAATCTTTCTGAAAAACTCCCCGCTTGCGCTTGAAAGATGGCTTGGAGCCTTGGAGGGCTGTGATGTCCCAGCTTTCGACTTTGAGGAGGGACCCGCCGAAGGGTTGCTCATTTGCTATCTAAGCCGTTCAGCATGTAGTATTTTGGTTAACGCAACAAACCGGGTACTCCGGCGAAAGGTCAGCGATGCCGGCGCTTTGTTTCATAGCAAGTAAACTCACCAGTCAAGGGCTTTTGAGAGAGAAAAGGCTGGAATGGTGGCGGACGCCTGGCATTTTCCAGCGAGATCTGAAATTCCAGATTCCGACGAAGCTGGAAGGGTTTTAAACGACCGCTTAGGGGTTTGGTTTGGTCACGTTTCTGGTAACCAAAAAATCAACAGAAACGACACCGTGTGTGTGGAAGAATGGGTCAAAGATCAAAACTGTACCAAAGAAAGATCGAAGCGGGGTATTTACATCAAGCCGCATAATAGTTAGGGACAACATTTGTCTTGTGTGGGTCAGATCAGATCTGATCGTCGAAATTCTCATTCTTCATTGAACAATAAGCAGAGGAAAGAAAGGAAGGGAAAATGGACGCCATAGATTCCGTCTTCGATCCTTTGAGGGAGTTCGCCAAGGACAGCGTTCGCCTCGTCAAGAGGTGCCACAAGCCCGACCGCAAAGGTTGCTATATATGCTTCCCCCTTCCAATCTATTTTCTTTTAATTCATGCGATTGCGAATCTTAGGATAATCGAAACGATTCGTTGATTGTGGTTTTCAGAATTCACCAAGGTGGCCTTCCGTACGGCGATCGGCTTCGTGGTGATGGGATTCGTAGGCTTTTTCGTCAAGCTCATCTTCATCCCCATCAATAACATCATCGTCGGATCCGGTTAGGTGAGGTACTATTCTTCCAATATTTGAATTTTGAATCCACAATTGTTTCTTAATCCTGAGATTGTTATCTTGTAAATCTGAAACTTAAATCATGTTCTGTTGCCTGCCTGTTGATTAATTAGGGGATGTTTGATCTAAAGCTACATTTTTTTTTTTAATTGGAAAATGAATGAAACAAAATGAAATTCTGCTTGTTGATTCTTTAAATATACGGTTGGAAATTGGAGAAATAATCAGATCTCTATCTAGCTTATCAATTTTCATTGTCAATGAATGATTTCGTTTCTCTTCATTCCTCAAGAATAGAAGTTGATTAAGTGTTTCTTAACAACGTGCTTCTAGTTGCACTTACACTTGAATGAATCATCCTAACAACTACCACTACTAAAATCCTCACTTTCAGCAACATGGAAGCATGTTACTGAAAGTGCCTTCCATGTTGCTGAAAGTCCTTCAGCAACATGGGTTTGGTTGCTAAAAGTTTGGTTGGAGAAGGCTTGGTGGGTAATACATTACCAACCAAAATCATGTTGCTAATATATCAGCAACATAAGCTATGTTGCTGAAAAAAAAAGTATCAGCAACATAGCTTATGTTGCTGAAAACCTTTACCGGAATCCGGTGACCGGAGGGGGCGAAATTTCTCACCCCTTTCAGCAACACAAGCTATGTTGCTGAAAATAAAGTATCAGCAACATAGCTTATGTTGCTGAAAACCTTCACCGGAATCCAGTGACCGGAGGGGGCGAAATTTCTCACCCCCTTCAGCAACATAGGCCACGTTGCTAAATATAGAGTTTCAGCAACGTGGCTCATGCTGCTAAAAACTTCAAAAAATCTTACCTCCCGTCGGAATTCCTAGCAAATTTTCAGCAAGAAAGGCCATGTTGCTGATTGCATACTTTCACCAACATGCTCCACATTGGTAAAAAAAAATGATGGATTCCCCCACACACTTCTAGTCCATTTTCAGCAAGCAAAGTCACGTTGCTGAAACCCTATTTTCAGCAACGTGGCTTATCTTGGTAAAAGTCAAGGGGAGAGAGTGGTTTGCACTTTTCA